ACATAGCTTTCTCTGCTGTGGAATTAAAATACTACATTATTCTGCATGGTCTATGTCAATTTGGCCTGTTACCAAATGCAGATGCCAAAAAGGGAACTGAAAATGATGCTTGGATTATGTTTAATGTCAAATTTTGTCAAACAGAAACAGCGCCTATGTATGTGTGTGTATGTGTGTGTATGTATAAAAGCTGCACCTTCTATATTGTTGAGTTATTTTGATGGAATGACCGATATCCGATATTTAACTTTTAACGCACATATCGGCCGATACCAATACCATGCCAATAATATTGTGCGTCCCTATTTTTAATACTAACTAACTAAATTACCACTGGCTTTTGTAACCCTAAACACGAGCAGTTTATTGAGGAAAGGGTTTATGTACAGACACAGATACATTTGTTGGTACATGTCCACAATAATAAAAGCAACAACTAATGGACCTGGCCAAAAAGCTTTAGTTTTATTTCATCTGATTTGAAACTTTGAGGTTATTAACATGCATTTTGATAATTTTCTGTCTGGCATTTTTTGTTTTTCTGCCAATAATGGAGCCCTCCTGGGTCTTCTTCCATGGAAGTCATTATGATTCAAAATGTGAGGGATGGTGCAATCAGAAAATGACATGCTTTAACCTTGGAGTTCCGCTTGAATGATTGATGGTTTCCTTGGCTTTGTCTATCATCTGCATTATCCATTTGATCAACCTGGGGATGCATTTCCTCTTGCATCCACATCCTGGACAGTTAGCTACAGTCCCATGAACCTTATACTTCTAAATAATATTATCAACTGTGGTCAGTGCATCATGAAGCTGCTTCGAGAAGGTCTTGGATCCTTTACCTTTAACGTGGACATCTATAATCCTCTTTCTGAGCTCCTCAGCTCTTTCTGAGCTCCCTACTTAGGCTGCTACCCCCGCGACCCAACCCCGAATAAGCGGAAGAAAATGGATGGATGGATGGAGGAGCTCCTCAGACAGCTCTCGTCTTTGTTTCATCTGCTTCATGTTCATTTGGGTGTACACGACAATACCAAACTATCCAGTGGCTTGTTTGTTTCCTTTTAATACGGTGAATGTTTAGTAAAGATTTGAAGGCACCTGTAATACTAATTAAAGTCAAACTCTTATTTTGAAACATGATATGACACAAGGATTAGTAGTCTTTTTAAGGTTACTGACAAGCTTTCCACACTATTTCAACATGTTTTTTGTTTTTTTACAAATCTTTGCTTTTAACATTTTTTTGTTTATTCAATCACATACTATTGGTATGCAGATATCCCTTAGATAATTGTTTGTAACATAATTACTTTTTACAAGATATTGTTCATTTTTACAACGAGCTTTCAGGGTGCCAACAAATGCATCTGCAGAGGTCCAAGTAAAGTGTGAGAATACTCTTATCTGTTTTGTTCTAATAAAGAAAAGTAAAAAACACAATAAATAACTCATTTTTAGGGATGCATATGGGAAATCACAGCCACTTTACTCTCATTCATACTGTAGTTTTATCCGTGCACATATGGAGCCAGGTGGTCCAACCTGCTGTCCCGTCACAGAGGCCAGTTCAGGCATTTAGGCACATCTTCCTCCACAAAGCAGCGGCCGGTCATCACAGACGCACTAAGAGCATACATGACAGAGAGATGTAAACCACTGGACAATTATCTAGATAAAAATGATCACATGCTGGTGAAAGACAAAGTGGGCTTTTTAACGCTCGTTTGAAGCCTGCTTCATTTAAAGGCTGCTTCATTTGAAATCTGCTTCAAATGAAGATGTGCATGGCTGCACATGCAAAAGCCTAATTCACTCAACGGTGTGCATTTTTTTCTGTGATACGGGAGCTGACTCGCAGTCTTCAGTTTTTAATTAGACAGCAGAGAAGGCCTTTGATGTGACCTCTTTAATGTTCCCTCCTTGTTAATCAGTGTGATCCTACAAGCCTCTTGCTAGTCTTGTATCGGATGTTAGCAGCAGCTCGACCCTGACTGTGCGCCCTCTTTCCTGCTCTGCCAGGTGAAGTGTGACCAGTACTGGCCATCACGTGGGACAGAGACCTACGGGATGATCCAGGTCACTATGTTGGACACTGTGGAGTTGGCCACGTACAGCGTCCGGACATTCGCTCTCTATAAGGTAAAGTATTGTCTTTTCTTATTTACAAGATAAAGCGGCGCACTCATGAATGACATATTCTTATCATCAGCAATGAATCACGTTTTAAAATGACAAATGGAAGCTGCCGTAATTTCTTTTTTCCTGCTTATTGTTTTTTACCTACTTTTTATGAGGCTTAAAAATATGTAATTTTGTCATCATCTCACATACTTAACTGCAGTAATGGTATTTTCCTTTGTTTTGTTTCCTCCCTTTTTTATAATTACTCCCTTTTTATTTCTGACAATATTCTCATTCCTAATTAGGTGCAAGTAAGTCTTTAGCTGGAGATATTTCTTGATTTCAATCAGGAATGATGGCAAGAACTGTTCTGTAAAAACTTCTTAGAAAACACTGCCAGAGCTGAATGTGATATGCACAAGGATCTGCCAGATAAACACAGCCCTAAAAGTAGAGTTTAGTATGTTTTATCAATATAGTTATGACTTTTCTGTGAATTAAATCAATTTGGTATTATTGAAATGGAGAAATTTAAAAGCTAAAGTCACTCCAAATCACTTTATGTGTAAAAAATAAAACGGCACTTTCAAGTTTGGTGGGTCAGTAATTGCACATCACAATGAAATAAGAGATTGTTTCAGGAAGCTTCAGAAAGAAAAGAAAAGCTCAAACTACATGAGAGAAATGCAACGTTAATAATGTGTAATAATGCCATTGTTTTTGTGGAGCGTGACAGAAAAAGGAGAAGTTGGGCACTGCTTGTGCTTTTCACAATTTAACTGTACAATCTCCTTTTCATCAAAACAGTTTGACCCCTTTCCTGGTACAGGAAGTGTTGCGTAGCATGACAAATAATCTGTTTCAAAAGCAACAAGCTACAGTTCACTTTCTACTAAGCCTGATCAGACGCCTTAATGCTGACTCACCTGATTTTCCTGCAGAATGGCTCCAGCGAGAAGCGGGAGGTGAGACAGTTCCAGTTCATGGCCTGGCCGGACCATGGAGTTCCTGAGTATCCCACCCCCATCCTGGCCTTTCTGAGGAGGGTAAAGGCCTGCAATCCTCCAGACGCAGGGCCCATGGTGGTCCACTGCAGGTGGGTGCATGAGGGGAGAAGATTTGGATGCTCAGAGTGAAATGTGGTAAAGAAACATAACGTCCAGCTATACTGTTGTCCACAGAGGTGATTCACATTGAAAACCTTTACGTCATGCAGACCCTACTAGACTCAAGTAGAACTGGAAGTGGCAGAAATGAAGATGTTGAGGTTCTCCTTACAAGTGACAAGGATGGATAAGATTAGGAATGAGATCATCAGAGGTACAGCACAGGTTGAACAACTGGGAGATAAAGTTAGAGAGACCAGACTGAGATGGTTTGGACATGTCCAGAGGAGGGACAGTGGGTACTGGGTATATTGGTAGAAGGATGTTAGAAATGCAGCTGCCAGGAAAAAGACGAAAGCCAAAGAGAAGATATTTGGATGCAGTTAGAGAGGACATGGAGGCAGTTGGAGTGAGGACAGAGTGAGATGGAGGAGGATGACTCGCTGTGGCGACCCCTGAAGAGAGAAAAACCAAAGGCCACAGGGCTGTCAGAGTATCCTGTCCCCAGCTTGGAAATATCAAATACACCTCAAGAAGTCAAACTTTTTAGTGGATAACTCCGATAAAGTTTTCCCCAACAAAAGGTTACACAGTAAACACAAAAGTTATTTTGGTTTATCTGCTCTTGTGGTCAATTATGACTTTTTATGAAAGACTGAATGCAAGATTACTCAGCAGAAAATTGAAGCAGAGGCCAAGTTTGAAATGTTAAATTTACAAACATTAACCTTTCAGTACATTTTAATGTCAGTTGTTGAACATAGAAGCAAAAAAAAAAAAAAACACATTATTGATGGAGGAATTTATGTTGCAGCAACATTATCAATGTGTGAGGATGCATTTCAGGTATTGATTTCAACAGCTCTTTGACCACAATGTAGTACTGCACACAGTAAAACAGTTATTTACTCTCCTCTGTCTCTGTCTGTCAGTGCGGGTGTGGGCAGAACTGGCTGTTTCATTGTGATTGATGCCATGCTGGAGCGCATGAAGCACGAGAAGACTGTAGACATTTACGGCCACGTGACGTGCATGCGCGCCCAGAGGAACTATATGGTCCAGACCGAGGATCAGTACATCTTCATCCACGAGGCACTTCTGGAGGCTGCGACTTGTGGCAACACGGAGGTGCCAGCCCGCAACCTGTACGCCCACATCCAGAAACTCACCCAGCCCCCGCCTGGCGAGACTGTCACCGCTATGGAGCTGGAGTTCAAGGTGACCGAAGCACACAGTCAAACACTAATCAATGGTTAGGTATGATTAGGGATTTACCAAAAAAATAAAAATTCTGCCAAATTCTTCAACCCTTCCACGGTTAAATTCAGTTATAGTTTTGCTGGACTGTTACATTATCTTAATGTGGAGACATCACAGCTTCCTCAGCCCATGTAGACACATGTTTCAGGGTTAAATAAACACACATGAACACACCTACTCGCTGACAATTACAAAATGACTGACACTTTCACGCTCATTCAGCTGGTGTTCAAGGTCGCCGTCGCACACGCACATACCCTTTCTGTCAATAGCCATCGACTGTGATGTTATTACACACTTTCCTCCCAGCACTTCTCTGCCATTAGCCCTCTTATGACCATGATCCATTCTGTTTGAAGTGATAATAGCATTTACACTCCTGCCAACAACGGAGAATGAAAGAGTGAGAGAATGATTGTACCGTACATGCGGGCCTTTGTCTGCATCTCCATACAGTCTGGACACATCATGAACACAAAACCTCCTGCAGTACCCTGACTGTCCATACTCACTCCTGTGTTGTCCATCTGTTCTCTGTCCACTGCCAGAGCTGTTCTCGTCACTCCTACAGCTCTCTAAACAAACTCTGGGACCTAATGTAATCTACATTATAACCCCTTCTTTAGTTTCCATTTTACTTTCATGGCACCAATCCACAACAAAAGTCATTTCAGGACACAATACAAGTTAATAAAAAACTAAGTTCATGTCATAAATCAAATTCAAATCCAATTACAGTCAAATTACACTGCTTTATCTTCTCAAAGAGTACATTATAAAAGTCAGTCAGTGAATGTCATCAATATAAGAAAGCCAGAAACTTTGATTTGTTGCAGTCTCTCATGCTGAGCAAGCATGTCGGTGACAGTGTACGGGAACAGCTCTCCTTTAAAAAGATTAAATCTCCAGCAGGTCCAGGCTCAGGATGACCAGTCGTATCCCTCCACTAGCTGAGGTTTGAGAAGACTGCGAAGAGGCGACAGAAGAATTGTAGTTTTTATGGGAGTAAAACCACAAGCTAAAGGCAGCAATGACCACATGTACAAACATGGAAAGGAAAGATAAAGATAGC